GCTGGTGGGGAAGGCTGGCAGAACACAATAATGCTGCGTGAGGGATTCCCCCATCAACACTGACTGTGTTGATAGGGTAATTGAGCACTTTTCTTTCTTTCAACTCATGGTTGAAGATAACAAAATTGCACAATCTATGGCTAGCCTTAGGTAGGAAGAGTTTTGTAACCCCAAAACAACCTTGTCCTTGTAAAATACAAGAAGAGATTCTTTAAAAGGACAAACTCAGACACCCTAATCAAGGTGCTAGCCACAGGAAAAGCAACCTTGGTGCTAGGAGAGGGAGAGAAATATCCTGAACAGGATCAAATGGTTGCCTCTGACCTTTTCTAGTCAGGGCTAAGAACTTGTACAGTTCTGACTGAAGAAGGATAAAATCTGCTTTTCATGTGCAGTAGTAAAACCCTATGAGAAGAGGGCTTTCTGGCCTTCAGCCAAGTGGGAATCAATCAGCAGCACCCCTGTCCTTTTGGACTTGGGCTGCGACAACAGCCATCAAATCACATGACCATAAATTGGGATGGAGCACGTGACCTTGAGAGGTCCATACTGTCCGGTATGGCCCAAGGAGAGTCTATGTCCTAGTGCCACCCCCTCCTGGGCCAATTCACAGCACTGCCTTTCCTCTCTATCCTTGGAAGAAGACATTCAGGAGTTTTGAGAGAGGGAAACGCATAAACCAGGTTGAACTGAGTCAAAAGTTGGTGACACACCTGTGGGTGGAGGTTCCACTCTCTGGGATTCAGCCTTTGGCGGTTTAAGAAGTCTGCTTGCCAATTATCCACTCCAGGAAATTTGCACCAGAAAGAATCACAACATGTAGTTCCACCCAAGTCAGAGTTATCTTTGTTTCTCTAAAGTGTCCTGACTTATAGTACCCTTGATGGTTTTTGTACTCCACTGCCATGGGGTTGTCAGATTGTACCCTGACTGGCACTCTCAGGAGCAGGGGGAATTGCCCAGAGTTCCTGGATGTTGATGTTGATTGTACCACTCATACCAGGGGGACACTGACATCCACATTTCCTCTGATGGATGCATGCCCCACACTAACAGGGAGTCCAAGACACCCCTCTTCCAGCCTGACAGGCTAGTGTTCATTGTCAGTACTTTCCAAAGCATTGCACCACTTGGAGAAAGGTTTTCTGCAATTCCAGCACAGAGCTGGACAGCCACCATTCCAAGGATAACCTGGTCTTGGTACTCAGAGACATAGGGTGATCCAAGAACAGAGTCTCATAGTCCCATGCTGTCAGGATGTTGAATTGCAACAATCTGGAGTGAATCTGAGTGTACGGGACTGCCTTGAAGGAAGCTTTAACCCCATCACCATCATCAATCCCTTCTACCATCAACCCCAGCACCCTCACACAGAAGTGAATGAAGGGGCATTCCAGGGAATTCAACTCCTATTCTTAGAGCTGATGGGTCTGAAGTTTTCTTGGGGCTGTGTCGAGGACAAGGGTCATATATTCTAGGTGCTGTGATGGCCCCTGGTTGACTTCTTGAGGTTGAGGCTTGCACCATTTCTTGCAGGCCTTGCACCATTTCACTTCAGGCCAAAAGGCAGAGCCACAAACTGAAAATGTTGTTCCCCTACTGTAAAGAGCAGGCAGCCCTAAAGAAGCGGAAAAATAGGGATGTGAAGTGTAGTCATCATTGATGTCCACTAAGGTCAGGAAATTCCTCCTAGATGGAGAGAAGCAGCCACTAACCATACAGATTCCATATGGAACTTTTGAACATGTAAGAACCTACTTAGGTGCTTGAGCTCCATCAGCATTTGGCTTGGGCCCAATGAACAGGTTGGAATAGTAACCATAAAACCTTCCTGTTCTGGAACAAGGGCAATGAGCCTCAGAGTGCAACTGATCCAGAGCAGTAAACAGGGCTGTTTTAGTCATGTGCAGTAGGCACATTCGATGGCATGACATGTTGAGAAGGCAAGATGTGAAACTCCAGTTTGTAGCCTGTGAATACATTGTGACATGGTTTTGGGCCCATATGGCCGTGAAGGCTGCCAAGCATCCCCCCTCTTGCAGAAGTGGGGTGTTCCTTTACTGGGAAAAAGGTTTGTTAGTGATCTTGGCGGGCCTGGGTCTCCAAGTACACTTCTTAAAGAAAGATTTATTTTTTGATCTTGAGTTCTGAAAAGAAAGTAAGGAACCCTTCTTGGTTTCAGATAAAAACAGCTTTTTCTGCTTTATTAGAGGTAAGAGTGCTCTTTCCTCCTGTGAGTTTTTTTTGAATACACGTATCCAGAGCATTGCCAAAAAGGATTTAACTTTCAAAAGGCATATATTCCAACTGCCTCTTGCTAGTAAATTTTGCTGACCAGCATTTTAGCTACAGCAATCACCTTATGTGCACTGACACAAGCTCCAAATCCATCCACATAGCACTTCCAGAAAGAGCTACAAGTGCTGATAGGCCAGTGAACTGGATCTAAGGTTCCAGGTTCTTTCATTAAAGGCTATGCCCAACCAGTAAATCCAAGCAGACTGCCATAGATGCATCGGTGGGTTGCATGGCTGTCCATGGAAAAGAATGACTTAAAAGGGACTGCATGGTCCTTAAACATTTGCTTGTTATCCACTGGTACTGTAAGGGTTCTATTTATGTGAGACACTGCAAAGACCTGCTTTTCGTGAAAACTGTTATTCATTAGGTATTGTACAAATTCCTTGTATGGGTGAGCCCAGTCCTTGTATAGATCCTTTTCAATGTAAAGATGTAATGGACAAGTTTTCATTGGCTTGGACACTGTCAACCTTAGGCCCTGAAGGTTTCAGTAGTGACACTTTTTGTTACGGGACACCTCAGTGAAAAGGCTCACTGTGGATCATTGAGATGGAGACACATTAGCAGTCTGGGCATCCTCTTCAAACGATTTGTCCACCTCAGAGGTGTCTGCTTCTTCAGACCCTCCCTTCTCCATTTCCATTCCAAGGGTGGTAAGGGAAAGTTACAAGGTAGCTTCGGTGGGGATGGAGACCTAGACCTCAGTCCGATCCCTCTACTGCCAGATCTGCCATGCCTTCAAGGCTTACAAGAGGCTGAAATAATCACAATCCTAAAGTACTGACACCAATAATGGGGTATGGGTAGCCTCACAGTATTCCACCATCTGAAGAGCTTCAGGATCCCTGGTTATGCCATAGCCTGTGCTGTAGGAGCTCTGCAGTACACATTCTACTCATCTGGTGTTTTCTGTGACAGGGAGTTTCCAATATGGCACCCACACATGTCCAGTGCGGTCTCCCAGTTGCACTTGTGCAGTAGCACAGATGGGTGGGCCATGCCTGTGCAATAGTCAGTGGTCCTAGCACTGACAGGCTGACCCCCCACCCCTTCAACGTCTGCATCAATTCTGTCAGCACTCATACGTCTATTTCCCAAAGAATCTCTGGATTATGATGCTGAGCTCGTGCACTCAGCTTCTTTGGTTGACCATGGGGAGGCCTGTTCTGAGTGGAACCTGTCCTGTTAAACCGCTGTATGGTCTTGGCCACCATGCTGCAGCTCAGTTTAAGGGTCTTGGCAATCTTGTTTTAGCCTAGGCCAGGGGTGGGCAATCGTTTTGACATGAGGGCCGCAATGGGTTCATATATTGGACCCGGGGGCCGGACCAAGGGTAGATGAATGATGTGTATGTGTCATCCATAGTAAGTATAGTAATATTCCCCCATAGTAAGCATAGTAATTAATCCCCCATATAGTAATTCATCCCCCATAGTAATTCATCCCCCATATAGTAATTCATCCCCCATATAGTAATTCATCCCTCATATAGTAATTCATCCCCCATATAGTAATTCATCCCCCATAGTAATTAATCCCCCATATAGTAATTCATCCCCCATATTAATTCATCCCTCATATAGTATTTCATCCCCCACAGTACTATTCCCCCCCAAGTAGTAAGCCAAGTCCCCCCTGTGTCAATTCACTTACATTTGCTCCGCGCGTTCCTCGCGTTCCGTTCCGGTCTTCAGGGCGGACTGTGAGAGGAGCCTATAGCTCCCCTCCCCTCACGTTCGTCACGCTGCCCCGCCTACACACATCCTGACAGCCACATCCGCGGGCTGGATTAAAAGGTCCGCCGGGCCGTAGTTTGCCCATTGCTGGCCTAGGCTATCTTTATGTAGAGTAACAATTCTTTTTTTCAGATCCTCAGAGTTCTTTGCCATGAGGTGCCATGTTGAACTTCCAGTGACCAGTATGAGAGAGTGTGAGCGATAACACCAAATTTAACACACCTGCTCCCCATTCATACCTGAGACTTTGTAACACTAACGAGTCACATGACACCGAGAGGAAAAATGGCTAGTTGGGCCCAATTTGGACATTTTCACTTAGGGGTGTACTCACTTTTGTTGCCAGCGGTTTAGACATTAATGGCTGTGTGTTGAGTTATTTTGAGAGGACAGCAAATTTACATGTTATACAAGCTGTACACTCACTATGTCACATTGTAGCAAAGTGTCATTTCATCAGTGTTGTCACATGAAAAGATAGAAGAAAATATTTACAAAAATGTGACGGATGTACTCACTTCTGTGTTAGTGTGTGTGTGTTAGTGTGTTAGTGTGTGTGTGACACGCACAGTTCAGCCACGACTTTATCACTGCTGACAGGTTAAGTGAGCAACAAAATAAAATGGGAGTGCGTTGGTTGGGCTCTGTCACAGGTGTCACAGGCACTTGGCTAAGACAGCTGCATCCACCCGTCCCTAATTTATGGGCTGCCTTTCCTGTCCTACGGATATTTATGAACAGGAGAAATCAGCTTGCTTTTTACAAACTGTCCATAAATTTATGAACAGTTGGCAACACTGCCCAAAAGTTCTGCCTAAAGAGAATAAAAGTTGATATAAAATACTTCGCATTTACCTAAAATACTTTAAAACGTCATGTTTTTGTCTTGACAACAGTAAAAGAATGATGTACAAAATAGTCATATTTACATTGCTATACACATATATGGAAATGTCTTTACAGGAAAAGATTTAGCTGCTGTTCAGAGGACAGTTGTGGCTCTTGGAAGTATTGCAGTCACTAAAGACGATGGCCAGTATCAAGGAGATCCCTCCTGGTTCATGAAGTAAGTGGTAGGACTCAATAAGTATATTATTTCCCAAACAATTGATCATTTTGATGTTTACTATATACAATGACCATTTATATTGGTTTCCCTAGGAAAGCCCAGGAACACAAACGGGATTTCACTGAAGACAAGATGAAACAAGGAAAGAATATAATTGGTTTGCAGATGGGTAGCAACCAAGGAGCCTCCCAGGCTGGCATGACAGGCTATGGCCGCCCAAGACAGATTATGAGTTAAAGCCAAAAAAAGAGGCAAGAATTGTTAACCTCTTCACTGCTCTAAGAGTCCCTAAGCAAATCTGCAGCAATGAAAGGGTGAGACCAAATCTGGTTCTCCTAGTCATTCCACTATTTCCATGGAAGAAGAAACGCAAGCATAGCCATTCCAATGACATATCTAACAACGAAGGATCCACCGCAAGAAAACACTTTCACTTTTGTATCATAAAAGTGGTCATTACTATCCAAAACAATTTTATGCAGCCTTCTAACTATATTTTCAGCTACTGAAAGTGAAATGTTATTAAACATAACAAGGTCTTCTGAAATATGGTTGGCTGCTTGAGATCCAGTCTCATTCATGACATCCATTCCATCCCCTTGGTATATGTCCATCCTAGTAAAAATCCTGTCTTGTTCAGAAACAATATTTCTCTCAAGACATCTCCAGAGTGCTTATTCACCAACTATAGCAGTTTTGAAATGATTAAAAACTCAATATTGTTCATCTGCATTTCATGCTCCTCTCTTATAGCCCTCATTCAATGCTTTAGCTCATTAGCTCACACTTGGCTATTTTCATTTGTAGAAACAGATCTCTATGTAACAAGGTCTTCACAAATATTGCTCATCATTTCTTTGCTATGCAACAGCATGTTTTCTATTCAATCTGACAGCAGTTAATGAGGTTAATTGTCACCTACATTTTCAACCCGTAAATTTCTCTACCCAGTTAAATCAGTGTTTATTATAAGGATTTTTTATTCTTTGTTGGTCAAAATAAAACATTTTAAACCATTAAGACTGTATTTTGTTAGTACATTGTGCTACCTACACTGCTATATTTAGCCATAATGCAGAGTTCCAAAAACTATGAACTTTGTTCAGTGTTGGTGATGGTTGGACACTTGTCATTTTTCATTTCCCTGGGCACTTCCACCTCCAGACTGCCTGTGTCATGTGTGCATCTGGAGATTTGCCAATTCAAATCTGGCACAAGCCCTACATAGGTATAGTGGACTGCAAGCAGAACTGAAGCACAGGAATTAAAACTGCAGCAGCCAGAGAGAAAGGCAAGCAATTTGTTTTCATGTAGGGCTTGTAGCTTTCTATTTCCGAACAGACTTGGGTATCATTACAGTGGTTTACAGTGACTGCCAACTAAAATTCATTGGGTTTTCACATTAAAAAGTGGATGGGAAGCCATGGATTCTCAAGGATATTGTTACACCTAAAGATTTGCTTTATGGAAATGTGCTTCTTAGAATATTTATTTTTTTTAAGTTTAATTTTATTAACATAAGGCAGTATCCATGACAGACAATATATATGGTTACAGGTACAAAGGCAGGTTTCAGTCTAAAGACTGAATACAAAGAAACTTCCAAGAATAACAGTTATGTCAAAATCCATATCCTGAATCAAATTACTGGAAAAGTAAGGAAACAATGCAGTGCAAAATAAATAAATAAAACCACAGACATCATAGATGCATAGGTACTTTATTTGCACACCGAGGATAACGAAACCCTGCATCCAAGACATATCCAACCATAGCTCCCTTATACGGAGAAAGGGTACTGCCCATTCTTGGAATATTTTAACAAACTATATGTTAAAGACACAAGCCAACACCAAGTATACCCAATAAGTTAAAGTGCACCTAAAGCAAAAACATTTTTTTTTTTAAATTATGAAATGGTGAGGAGTTATAAACCCTGTTGGGCTGTTATTGCTGTCTGTGCTCTCAGTAGCTAGGAGAGGAGAGAGTTTTAGGTCAGACAATGCAGCGACTGTCAAACTTCAGGTGACCCCTAACCCCTTTAAGAGGACCTTTCCCTTTTTCACTAAAAAATACATCAGCTTGTAACTCTGCATGCTGACATATAATAATCTTGCATTATTTAAACATTTTATTCACTTACAAGTACTGTTTTTCCACTTTTTGGTTAAGTGAGGCACTGGTGATGTAACTAGGGCCTCACAGATGCATTCTGGGAAGGTTCTCCCTGCTCAGATCATATGCATGGTCACATGTTCCAAGAGGCAGACCCAGAATTGCACAAAGTAAAGGAAAATGGATTAACTTGCCCTTAGTGAAAATGGCCACTGTGAGAAGTGCAAAGGGTTTATTTTGAACACTTATTAGAGCTGAAGGGGTGGCTTGGATAAGGTATGAAAATGTCTTCAACATTAAAGAACAAGCCAACTGCAAAGCTACATTTCATGACAGTTTAGCTGCAGCCCTGACCTACCCAACCTACCTGTGGTCATATTTGGCCAGCACAACTTCTGTCTTACCATGCCCCATCCCTTTTATTTTGAAATAGAATAAAAACCCTGCTGCCTTTGACAGCATGATATTCTCTATATATGAAGTGTGCATGGTTTGACTAGAAGAACGGTCTGGATAAAAGCGCACAGATGTGTCCCAAAGGAAATAAGTGAATGGTATATGTCAACTATGATTGGTGGGGAAAAAACTCACTGCTGCCATGGTAAAAACACATCGGTTTGTGGGAAGTATGAACAGGAGCCAGGCGCTGTGTAGTTTTGTGATAAAAGTAATACACCTTGTATGGAGGTGTGCCTTTAATAGTCATACGGTAAAAAATAATTAACCAGCCTGTGGCTTTAAGAAGCCAGGTTCCAAGATAGACGGCCCGTCCGCTCAGAGGGAAGCAGTGGAGTAGAATACCTGTCAGTGCAGGGACCACGTGTACCCGACATCCCAGCGTCCTGGATGACGTCACCACGATGTGGAGAGACAGAGGGGGGGGGGGGGGGGGGAACTCTTGCAATCCGATCCTGTTGTGAGACGAGCCATCCGCTCCTGATTATCCCTTTGATTATTCCCCTGGTTGTTAAGCCAGCCCCTTCTGTTGTGCAGGTCTGCTATAAAATGGCCGATTGCTGGACTTTTCACAGACTTGATAAAGTGCATGCGCGCGAAACATGTTGTCCCGGCAACCGGCCTTTTCCTTCTAAAGCTGCGGCTCCTGCAAGAGTTCCCCCCCCTCTGTCTCTCCACATCGTGGTGACGTCATCCAGGACGCTGGGACGTCGGGTACACATGGTCCCTGCACTGACAGGTATTCTACTCCACTGCGTCCCTCTGAGCGGGTGGGCCGTCCATCTTGGAACCTGGCTTCTTAAAGCCACAGGCTGGTTATTTTTTTTACCATATGAATTATTAACCTCCCGGTGGTATGATTATTTCCGATTTTTTGTGCTGAAAGCGGTACCATTTTTTTGCATGGAAATATGTAGTTTTTTATTGTAGGCTCTAATTTTTAGGAATAACTCACTAAAATCTGTACGAACAAGAGTCTAGTAAACATCCCGGATATGATAAAATTTGAAACACAAAATCATAAATTATAATTTAATAATCATAAAAAATAATAATATAATAATAAATTTAATTCAATAATATAATCAAACCAAAAACACTGAAATTTGAAATACAGAGGCAAATTCGCACATCGCTAAGCAAAGTCGCAAAATCGTTGTCAGTGTCTGATGACGAATTTCCCCACAAATCATTATCACTCAATTCTGCAAGTGGTTCTGATTTACTATTGCTGTTCTCTAGCTGGTCTAAAACCGCTTTTGACATAAAGGGACGCTTTTTGGACGCCATGGACTTTTCTAAGTTTCCAGGCAGAAAGAACGGTCAAAATGCAGGCAGGGCACACGACAAAGCAGTAGGGACAAAATATATGTGAAATGGTTTGATACAGCAATGTTTTACTATGTAATAATCATTTTTTAAAAAAATTACATTTTTTAAAAATTTCAAATTTGCCGCCGGTTCCGGCGCCCGTACGTCCCGACGTCACAGGGACCGGAACACGGAAGCCGGATGCTGGCATCGACCGGAGGAGATGGCCGGGGATGCTGCAGGGGACACATCGTGGGAGCGAAGGACAAGGTAAGTGCTGCAGGGACTCCCTGAGCAACGCCGCATGGTAAGTCCGAGTGTAGCTCGGGGTTACCGCTCTTGGTACTCAAATTTTACCCCGAGCTACACTCGGGAATACTGCTAGGGAGGTTAAAGGCACACCTCCATATAAGGTGTATTACTTTTATCACAAACCTACACAGGCTCCTGTTCATGGTTTGACTAGTCATACATTATTTGCCATTTGTTTCATCTTTAGAATCCTATTAAACCCTGTCAATCAGCAGCATACATTCAGCAGCACATTTTCTTTGTAAAACTATAATAATGAATTAGAACATAGTGAGTCAACACTCCTCTTTCTTTAATGTACAGAAGACAAGGAAACTAGATGTGTTCATGTAAAACATTTTATTGCTGTTAAAATAACATTTTCATCAAGCAAATCATATTCATCAGAACACACAGAAATTCTTCTCCAACAATCATACAAATAATAAATTAACTCGGTCGCGTAAAGCTCTCAGCATTTAATGTTTCATGTAATATGGTGAAACATTTTCATTTCTATTTTTATTTTATTTAATTAACGGGTAAACAGGATCACAGTGAAAGTAAAAGGTCCAGCATGTCTCAGGGCATATACTCTAGAATCGGCCTCAACCAATGTCATCATGCCACTGGCCCTGGGACCCTTCAAAATATGGTTACCAACAAAACTCATTTTTTTTTCAATGAAAAAATATATAATAGCTGATTTTGTTTAAATCTGAGCTTTGGGGAAAAAAACCTAATTAAATAAATACCTGAATAGCCAAAAGGACAGAAAATCCAATTTGTTTGCATTAAATGCCTTTGCAATCCCAGATATTACCTTGTAAAAGTAACATCATCACTATGCTGCACAGATCCAGTGCAGAGAGAAGAGCAAGGTCCTCCCACCCCAGGCTTCCTTGTAGAATACTACAGGCGTGAGGCAGACACAATACTACTCACTCTGCAGAATGAGAGCAGCAGTGGTTGGTCTCTATGCCAGGAAACTCATGCAAAAAGGCAAAATACAGAAGTTATTTCATGCTGGATTACTGCACAGGTCTGGAAGGATGAAGGACATT